TTAATAAGGATTTATTGGAGAATTATTACCTGCTAATAAGGAATTATTGGTTATTAATAAGGATTTATTGGAGAATTATTACCTGCTAATAAGGAATTAGTAGTTTTTAATAATGATTTATTGAGGAATTATTACCTGCTAATAAGGAATTATTGGTTATTAATAATGATTTATTGAAAAATCATTACCTACTAATAAGGAATTATTGGTTATTAATAAGGATTTCTTGAGAAGTTATTACCTGCTAAAAAGGAATTATTTAGAAATTATTAGTCATTAATGATGATTTCTTCAAGAAATATTGCCTACTAATAAGGAATTATTAGTTATTAATAATGACTTATTGACGAATTATTACCTACTAACAAGGAATTACTTAGGAATTATTAGTTAGTAATAAGGATTTATTGAAGAAATATTACTTACTAATAAGGAATTATTTGGGAATTATTAGTTATTAATAAGGATTTATTTAGGAATTATTAGTTATTAAAATAATAACTAAAAATAAAAATTCTTGAATTCAAAAGTATTGAATTTTAAATTATTGAACTAAAAATTATTGAATTCAAAATTATTGAATTAAAAATTATTTAATTAAAAATAATTGAATTAAAAATTATTAAATTAAAATAATTAAATTTAAAATTATTTAATTTAAAATTCTTGAATTAAAAATAATTGAATTTAAAATTCTTGAATTTAAAATTAATGAATTAAAAATTCTTGAATTAAAAATAATTGGATTAAAAATTCTTGAATTTAAAATAATTGAATTTAAAATAATTAAATTTAAAATTATTGAATTGAAAATTATTGAATTAAAAATTATTTAATTGAAATTATTGAACTTAAAGTTCTTGAATTAAAAATTGTTTAATTTAAAATTATTGAATTTAAAATTCTTGAATTAAAATTATTGAATTAAAAATTATTGAATTAAAAATTATTAAATTAAAAATTATTGAATTAAAAATTATTAAATTAAAAATTATTAAATTAAAAATTATTGAATTAAAATTAATGAATTTAAAATTATTGAATTAAAAATTGCTTAATTTAAAATTATTGAATTAAAAATTCTTGAATTAAAATTATTTAATTTAAAAAAAATGAATTAAAATTTTTGAATTAAAAATTATGGAATTTAAAATTCTTGAATTTAAAATTATTGAATTAAAAATGATTTAATTAAAATTATTTAATTGAAATTATTGAATTTAAAATAATTGAATTAAAAACTATTTAATTGAAATTATTGAATTTAAAATAATTGAATTAAAAATTCTTGAATTAAAATGTATTTAATTGAAATTATTGAATTTAATATAATTGAATTAAAATTATTGAATTTAAACTTATTGAAAAATTGAATCAAAATTATTGAATTGAAAATTCTAAAATTGAAAATTCTTGAATTTAAAATCATTGAATCTAAAATTGTTTAATTTAAAATAATTGAATTAAAAATTCTTGAATTAAAAATAATTGGATTAAAATTCTTGAATTTAAAATTATTGAATTTAAAATTAATAAAAAATGATTGAATTAAAAATGATTGAATTAAAAATGATTGAATTAAAATTCTTGAATTAAAAATGATTGAATTAAAAATTATTAAATTAAAAATTATTAAATTAAAAATTATTTAATTTAAAATGCTTGAATTAAAAATTATTTAATTAAGAATTATTTAATTAAAATTATTGAATTTAAAATTATTGAATTAAAAATTATTTTATTTAAAAATATTGAATTGAAAATTCTTGAATTTAAAATTCTTGAATTTAAAATTATTGAATAAAAATAAAATTAAAATTAATAATTAATTAATAATTAATTACTAATTAATTACTAATTAATTAATAATGAATTGAAATGCGGGAAATCTTCGGGAATGTTGGGGGGGAATTCCTGACCTTGGATTTGGGGAGTTGATAGAGGAACTGGAATTTGGGCTCCACCCCGTTCCCGGGGGGTTCCGGCGTGGGCGGGGCCGCGATGCCGGAATTCCGGAGGGGGCGGGTGTTTTCCAGGAAAATCAGGGAAAGAGCCAGGATTCCGATGGTGGTGGTGAGGACGCAGGCCAGGAGGCAAAGGAGGAAGATTTGAAGTAAATTCCGGGTTTTCCCGGCCGGAATTCCCTGGAAA